GGGGGGGGGAACACAAGCAAGATGCAAAATAAGATCTGGTCCGATCACTCCCCTCTTGTAACTTCTGCTTGCTGTGTTCATTTGGGCAAGCAAGATGAGCAAGACGCAAAATGAACACGTGAACTACTGAAAAACAACACAAAAGTTTCGGCAACCAAGAAGAAGAAAAATGTACACGCACGTGAAGTGGAAATCGACTCTTCTCTTTAGTTTTCCTCTCTGTGTCCCTATTTTTTTTTTTTCAAAAATGACGAATGCCCGTGATATATCATCATCATTGAGTTGACAGGCCCCATGCAATACAGAAATTTAAATTATTTACAACTTTTAAGTTTTACTCATCAATGAAGTGAGTGGTACAACCCGAATTTTTTTATTTTTTTTTTTTGGCCCGGCTGGGGAGAGTTCCGAAAATTGCAAGAATAATAATTCAATTTCACGGGGAAGCTAGGCTACCAGAGTGGCCCGGGGCCTGTTGCCCGGCCGGGCCAAAAAGAAATAAAAAAATAAAAATTATTTCTTGACTTTATTTTTTATTTTAAATTTGGTAAATAATTTCGATGCGACCCCTGAGGCAAAAGTTGTTCAGTTTAGTTTTCTGCATAACATAGTTTTTTTTTGGATTTTTTTAATCTTTCTTTGTTTTTTTTTTTGTTTTGTGAGGACCTCCCCTGGGCCTTGCACGGCCGGGCCTTGCGGGAAAATAGGGTGACTGGGCGGCTCTGCTGGTAGCCTAGCGGGGAAACGTTGCGGCTGATAGCTGGGCAACCAAGTACTGGTGGTTTGGCGGTTTAAACTGCCAGTACTTGGCCCAGCTATCGCCCGCGGCGCTTCCTTGTTAACGCGCCACACCTTTAGGGCTTAAGGGGTACCAGACCACAATGGCTGGAAGCGCCAGCTAAGAAAAAATTGAAACGGTACCCCGGCGCCTCCGAAAAAATTGGCACGCAGGGGCATTCCAGGCTCGGAGCATCGATAGCTGGGCCAAGTACACTGGCAGTTTAATACGTAGGCCGGGCTTGGAAAGTGGGTCCAGGGTCCCAATGAACATTTTAAGCGTATGAGCATTTGAAGATTTATGTCCGCATCTCGAGTATCTGCACTTCTTCATCCTGTTCCAGTGCACCAAATCTACATCTGCTAAAAAAAACTGAAACTAGTAACAATTATTGATTATTAGCAATTCTGTAATGACTGGCTTGAGGTGGGGGGTTGGGGGGGTTGGGGGGAGCACGGCGGCTGGCCTGCAGAGGTAGAATGGACAGGGGAGCAGGGTGAAGACCAGGGTGATTCCCATCGGGAACTACAAGATGTCCTTTCACATGTGGACCAATATTGACGGATAGATCCCGTTGCGTCCCCTCTCTGATCTTCCAGATCCCTTCCCCCACACACACACACCCTTTCGCTGGTCGACCCTGAGTGGTATTGGGGGGGAGCTGGAATTGCTGTTATTCATCTGTAATGGGCGATGCAGGTTGGGCTATCCGGCGGCCGCGGGGCATACTCACAGGAGGACTTTTCTAAATGAATCTGAGTGTAATTACGGCAAGTCCCTGATGTATCTGACCGCAATCATGTCCAGAGCGTAGTACAAAAAAAGTCCTAGAAGTGTGAATATGCTCTCAGTCATCTTTATTCGTCATGTCAATGCCAAGCTCGAGCCTCGACCTTTCTCACGAGTAACACCTGTCTCTTATACACATCTAGATGTGTATAAGAGACAGGAGAGAGAGAGAGAGAGAGAGAGAGAGAGAGAGAGTTCACTGGTATGAAAGACTTTCTTTTTTTGTTTTATGTTGGGTAAGATGGTCAATATGAGAAGAAAAACGTGTGGAAGGGGGGAAAAAGAGTGAAGGCAGCGGCCAGTATGAAAGACTTTCTTGGTTGTTATTTTTTTTT